AAAATGATGTAAAAATAAACTTTGTAATAAAAAAAACAAAAAAATATATATACTTTTAAAAAAAAATTAAGAATTTTGAACCAGCAGAGCAAATGTCCTTAATATCCATCAAGAAACTTGCTTATTCTGTTGACTACTCTTGGTTTTCAAGAAAATTAGTGTGGACATGTAGGTATCCCTGAATTTATCTGGCTTTTAAAGGGCCTACAGTCCCTGAAAAGGATACATGGAAAGAGATCAATGATCATCGCCATTGCATGCTCACTCTAGTGAGTATGGGCCTCCCACTAAGTCACTCTTGAACATGAGCTGCATTCTAGGACTTAGGCAATCCCTGGGGTGTTTCTGGAATCAGAAGAAATCTCTCATGATAGTCAATAACATTTTAAACTGATAAACAAAATGAAAAATACTTTAAATTTGATAAATACAAAAGATTTAATCCATTTTGATTTTCTATTATATGACAAAGAATCATTAAATTACAACCCAGTTCTCTAATATTGAAGCACCCTTAGAATTAATACCATACTCTCATTTTACAGATAAAGCAAATTAAAGTTCAGAGACAGATCCTTAATTTACTCAAAACTACATTTTGTTAGAAGTTAACTTTTTTCAGGATTAGGGTGTAAATTCCAGATATAGACGGCCTCCTTGGAAAGCCTCCACATTCGTTTGGTTTAAGGAAAGCAGCACATCCTAGAAGATGGACAGGCAGGTCATAAACATGCAGAATGCCAATAGCTACTCAAAGCTGCTATCCCATGAACAGTTAAGTGACTCAGTGAATATTATAAATGTACGGGAAGAAATATTTATAGTCAAGTAAATTCTGAAAATGATACATCGAACAAAGTAAAAGAGCCTGCTCAGAGCCTTTACTGCACTTATGCTAAGTGAACATTCCCAAGAGTATGTGGCACATGCCCTATTTCACAAATTTATTAGTGCCTGAATCCCTTTTTAGGTCACACCTATTTATATCTCCCTAAATAGTACACTAAAGTGTACATGTTAGGAAATCTTTGCCTATAATCTTTAAACCCTGATATCAATTATATTTTACAATATATACTATAATATATTGCTATCCATTAGCTCTCATACAGGGTTGTGGCATTTAATAACCCACCTTTGCTCTGCATAATTCAATCAAGTCTTACTGGAATAGTGGTGGAATACAGGAATTGGACCAATCTAAAGCAGAGAGTCACTATAAGGTTGAAATATACATGTTCAGAGTTAAATTCAACAACATATATACTCCCACTATCTATTCTATACAACTTACATAATTCATTTTTTCAATCCTCTTTCCAACATTTTTTCTTCTCTTTTAAAGTTTTAACTCTCTTAAGTAAGTCAATCAACTATCTCCCTTCTCGGTTCTGCTACTTATTGCACTATTAGCATTTTATTGCTATTTGCATTTGGGAAAGATGACTCCTAAGAAAGGAAAGCACAACAGAAGAGAACTAACAGAGCATTATATTTTTGCTTTCAGACATTTCAATTTTATATTGAGGTGCTTTCAAACATACCAATTTTATTTCAATGCTATTAAATTTGTATCTCTATAGCATTATAATGACTAATTAAAACAGCAATGGGGGGGCGTTTGTACTCATAGAATCAGAGCTGGAAACTTCTCATTTACTTAGAAAGTGGCATTAAAATCAATGCTTTCTTTGCAGCCAAACTGCGTAGAAGATGGAAAAATTCCTTTATACTGCTATATAAATTCTCTGTACCTCTTGGAAATCATCCACTCCTGAATAAACATTAGGCCCTTTATTGGTTCTTCCTCCACGGTCTTTACGTTTGATTTTCTTCGGCAAACAACGTCCACGGCCAACATTAAAACTTTTAACCCTCTGTTCAATACCTAAAAAAGTTAAAATGTACTTCAAATATTATTGAAAAACAGTGTACCTGCATAAATTATATGAATTTTATTAAAGAAGTTAGATTAAAAAGTGATTTCTCATTTTACCAAAGTCATAATGAAATAGCAAGTTTTTTAATGATTTAAACCCAGGCAAATAAATATGAAAAAAAATTGCTAAGTCCTAAGTAAATGCATAACAAAGCAGACTGTCACATTTTAAAATGGACAGATTCCCAGAATTCTGTTCAATTATGCTTAAAGTATAAACTAATACCTAGATTAAGAGAAACTTGAAAAAGATTATTTTTTCAGAATACTGATATCTGATAGAAGGGAGAGGAGAAACATAACAGTAAAACATATATATGTATTTTAAAATACTATGCTAGCTTTCTAATTCAAATATGAAGACATTATACAGATTGAAGTATTTGTAGATTTCCGTCCTCAAAATCTACAAAATAATGAAAAAATTATTTCAGGGACCACAAAAATAAATTGATCTTGAGAAGGAAAATATAAATTTTCCTGTTTTAATAGGTTCTTATATTCAAAAACAAATGAACAATTTCAAACTTACCTAGTTGAACTTTCATTCGTTTTTTCCCTGGTTCTTTAGAATATGATGATCCTAAAGCAGTACTTGAGGTTTCTTTTGCTTGTCTGTATTGTTTCAGGTGACTAGAAAAGTCTTCCTCTGTTTCCTGAGTATAGTTACCAAAGTTGTCATCACTGTAGTTACCAAAGTTGTCATCACTGTAGGTACTATACTCATCGTATTCTTTACTCTTATATTTTTTGTTATGTTGACTCTTCTTTGATGTCATATAGCTTCCTGATATATGTCCATGCTAAATAAAAACATAAAATTATTATTAGGATTTTTAACTGTATGTAGAAATTAATAGTAACACACGACATTTTTTTCCCCAAAAAAAGTTGGAAGGAGAAAAAATAGTTATTAGAGCTGCCTCTTGGTTGGTACTTACCTATGACACTTTTAAAATCTAAACCCAAAAAGCTAAATGCCACTCTGATACTAGTAAACATTAGAATGAGCATAGGTCCTTGATGGTGAGTGTATTTTACTCACTTTTTTCTCTATGTCCCATATTTTTTGTTTGCCATGTTCTGTGTCCCAATATTTACATAGACAGGGAAACTTAAAAGTACATAACATCATACAATAATTAATTCCTTCTCCAAAAAACTGAAGAGATATTTTTAAAAGTAAAGAAAATTAATAAAGTATATTGTGGGATAGAGGGAGAAATATATATATATATTTGAACTATTAGAAATTTATATATTTGAATTATTCCCAAATAACATGTTCAAGCATATTATATTTCATAAAAACTGTATGTGTGAACAAATTGTAAAAATGAAATTTTTAATCTGAGGTACAATAGAGAAAAACATCTAATGAAATTGCTTATAAGGAACTGTTTATTGCAATATACTTTTAATTTTAATGCTTTTTAGTAAAAAGCACATGAAAACAGAGAATATACTTTAGCCCTAGAAGTTTAGTAAATTATAGCTGTCAAGTCTCTGTTCACTGAAATATTTTCATTAGTCCTATCACAGCTGAGAATTTTTTTCCTCTTTTTTTGTTACTATACTTTTTTTCCTTCTGAGGTTTTTTTAAAGAAAAAAAAATTAGTATCTAGAAAAACCCAGACCATGATCCATCTTCAGTACATTTTAAACATGACAGAAAACTATTATGTGGAAAGAATACCAACATGAGACTGTTTTTAATACAATACAGAAAACTATTAAGATCTTTTAGAGATTACAAATATGTAACTAAAGTAACTCAAACAGTGAATCACATAAATTTTAGATTTTGAAGACACAGTATTACTTTCTTGTTTTAAGCAATACTTGAAGTTTATCCAGCATTTCAACAATTCAAGGATTTATAATGGTAGCCAAAATGGCAAGGTTTCTGACATTTTTTTAAAAAGCCACTATAATAATAAAAAAATAAAAGCTTAATTAACTACAAGATAAGCTTACGGGGGCTTATTACCTTTATTTTAAAAATGACTATATTAATAATTCAATGATAAGTTTAGTGCTTTATGACTAAATATTACTCTTAATGGGTGAGCATGAATTTTTCTCTGGAGATTAGATGTTTGCCCAAAACCCTTTAATTATCAATATTTATTCAATTCTCTGATATTTCTCAGCTCTTAAAAAATAATTTCCATATTGCTATCACTTTAAGTAGAATTGTCTCTAAACTTTCATTGAATTCCCTCCCAAGTTTTTCCACCTGCAAATATTAGCAATAACCTCTAAATGACGCAAATGAATCCTTCCAAGGTTTCATAGGAGAGATTACTATGGTCCTGAAAGCACTAAATAGATGATAAGGTACCCAGCAGTCCCAGCTTTTTAGGAGGGTATCTCCTTAGACTTCAGATGTTCACCATTTGGAATAACAACATATATTCACAAGCAAGGATGTAGGCATTCTTGTAATTTTCCTGTAAGTCATTATGACAAAATAAAAACATTAAGGCAGCTCTCCCGCCCACTTGTAACTATGTAGGCATTTCTTCTCACAAACCTTTTCCCTTTGTAAAGCAGCAGCGGAAGCTCTCTGCCTGCCTGTGTCTATGCAGGTGTCTCTCTTTTCCTTCCTCCTTTTCCTAATAAACCTGTCCTTTTAAAATGTAAAAAAAAAAAAAAGTATTAAAAATAAGAGTGAAATAAACAATTTTTCAATAAATAAAAGCTGAATTTATTGATAACAAGTCTATACTGTAAGAAATGCTAGATAAAGACTAAATGAAGAATTTCAGATTAAAAGAAAATATCAGATTGAAACTGAAATCTATATACAATCCTAGCAAACTAACACATAATGTATTCTTTATTTTCAAAGGATTAAAATTTGTATATTATTTTTTCAAAATAATATTAGAAGACAAAGCATAAAATTGAAAGTTTTATTTTTCCATTAAAAATGGAAGTGCATTAAAAGCCACAGTGATATACATTTCATGTATATTAAGAAGGGTATTATACCAAAAAAAACCCAAATTAAAAACAAAATAGTAGATTTGGCAAAGACATGGGAAAATTTAAAAATCTCATTTTTAGTGAGACTATAAACATGATGTAGCCATTGTGGTAAATAGCTTGTAGCTCCCCAGAAAGTTAAATACAGAATTACCATGTGATCTAGCAATTCTGCTCCTAGGTTTATACCCAAAAATTAAAAATCAGGGTATTGAAAAGATCCATGTTCAGGCTACATTACTTGTAACAGTAAAGAGGTAGAAGCAATATAAGTGTCCATGAAGATAGGAATGGCTAATATGGTATATGCATATAATGCAAGATCATTTAGTCTTAAAATAAATGAAATTCTGATATAATACAGTCAACCTTGAAAAAAATGTATGATTCCAGCATATAAGGGTAATTACCATACTTATTGGGAAAGTATCATGCTTATTTCTATCTATACAAGGGGGAAATTCATACAGATAGAAAGTGGATAATAGTGACAACCAGAAGCTGATGGGAAGACAAAGGAGATATTACTGCTTAATGAGTTCACAGCTTCTGTTTGGGGTGATGAAAATTCTCTGGAAATGGATAGTGATGATGATTATTCAACATTGTGAATATGCTTAGTTCAACTTAATTATACACTTAATGATGGTTAAAATGGTATATTTTGTTATGTATATTTTATCACAAATGTTGCATTATACATTATGCATATTTTTAAAAAGGTAGTACCTGAGGAAATGGAATGTCATAATCCCTGTAGAAACCAGTCCTTTTTTTGTGGGAACTTTCTCTTTGTTCGACCTCTGAATCAAGGCTGTAGTCTGAACTATCACCACTAGATGGAGAATTATGCTAAAAGAAGGTAAAAATTAAATCACACTTGCAAAAGTCAGAATATTTAACTAGTAACCAGAGAAACTTGTTTCAATCAGTACATTATCTCGGTAGGCTCTAAAGTACAAGCTCTCTATTTAGATACCACTCCCAACAGTCATCTCCTCAGTATGGTATCCTGTCTTAAAAAATATTTAGTAGATTAGCATTAGGAGTTTGTCAATCCCAGACCTGTCTAGTACCATCCAAATTAACATTAACATCCAAATTACATCTCATGCTCATGTGTGAGCTGGAAATAGAAAAGTTTCCTCCTAGTTTTTATTGCTACCTCAGTTTGGCCCACAGACTTTTCTTTTTGAGTGGAGTTTCCTCCATTTGAGATGAATACCTGTTGCTAATTTGATTAGCTCTTTTTTCCCCTACAGATTTATTTATTTATGCTTACAGAACTGGGGTACAAACCAGAGGTGCAGGGGTAGTGAGACACCAAACACAGACTGGGGAGCAGAACAGGCAGACTGACAACGTACACTAATGAGGGGAGCAGCAGGTGGGTCAGGAGAGGTCTGCCATGCCATGTGGGTCACCTCCCTGGCTGGGGATGGAACTGGTGCTGCAGTGGCTTCACAGAGCTTCATACTGCGGTGCTTTAACCCACTGCGCCACCAGGGAGGGCCCATGTTTAGCCCTTTTACCTTCTCTCTGCTTCCCTACACGTAGATCCTGATCCTATATGGTTTTTTTGTCTCCAGTTCGCATTTATCTATTGTAATTTTGAAGTCTGTGAAGATAACTTAATAATTCATTTTTCGCCTGTGAATTTTTGTTTTTGCTATATAAAGTGCTCTGTTTTTAGGTGCATACTTCAGGGAGTGTCAAAAGCCATCTGACCGCTGCTATCAACTTCTTTAGTTCTCTGTCAGCACAGGTTTCCCTTCTTCCCCAAACAATCTACCTCATTCTCCATTCAGCATCCTATTATTTTCTAGATAGCAACTGTCTTTCATTTGCTTAATAATTTTCTCCTTTCTATTTCAATGTAAACTCTAAGAAGAGAGTATTTCATTCATCACTGTAACTCCCAGCTTATTGCACAGATTTTCACAGTAATATATGTGAGTGAAAACAGTAAGTGAATAAATGGACAATGCCAGTGCTATTCATCTACATCTATAGAGAATAAAATTTTATTTCCTTTGCCTTTCAGCATCCTTGCATACCAACTTTCATCAATTCAAAAGATTTAATTGCGTTAAAAGTTACCTTGATTGGATACTCCCTGGGCACAATGGGTTAAAGCATAGCACTATGAAGCTTCTGCAACCCTGCAACACTAGTTGCAATCCCCAGCCAAGGAGAGGACCCAAATGGTGTGGCAGACCTCTCCTGACCTGCTGGCTGCTCCCCTCAGCAGTGTATTTCAGTACATCTGCCTGTTCTGCTCCTCACTCGGTCTCTGGTGAATCCTCTCACGCCTTGCATCTCTGGCCTGTACCCTAATTCTGTATGCATAAAAAATAAATCTTTTAAAAAAAAGTTACCTTGATTATTTCTGTTAAACCTTTAGGATAACTTATACAACCTGTATGTTCAAAGGTTATTAATCACACAAGTAAAAACACCTAATCTACGTTTTATATGAAAATAGGAACTGATTTATACTTTATTTTTCAATGATTTATTTATTGATGCATATAAGAACTGGGGTACAGGCCAGAGGTACAATGGGTGAACAAAGCACTAGAGATAGAGTGGGGAACATAATAGGCAGACTGACTGAATACACTGCTGAAAGGAGCAGTGGGTGAGGCAGGAGAGGTCTGCTGTGCCATGTGGGTCACCTGCCTGGCTCAGAATCGAACTTGTGCTACAGTGGTTGCAGATAGTTTCATAGTGCCACACTTTAACCCCCTGAGCCACCAGGGAGGCTCCTGATTTATACTTTCTAATTGTTAATACTGTCTGTTTCATTAAAATGTACCTAATGTTGAGTGTGATCATATATGGGCAATAGCACAATGACCCAAACCGGGCCTTGCATCCAGGTGTACAGCGCCACATCAGCTTAAAAAAATGGAACCTAAAGCCTGTATAAGAGACCCTTCCCACTACCGCACTTGCAGTAGCTGCAGACCCCACCCGCAGGAGCTCTGCTTCAGCAGCTGCCCAGGAGCAATAATCTCTACTTGTTTAGCCTTTCTGCCTCCCAACTTTCTTCCTTGCAACCGGATACAGACATCAGGACAGAACACCTAAAGAATAAAAAGTAGATTCTAACTAACCTTGTGTTTCTCACGTTTTCTTCTCTTGGATTTTTTCTTCTCTCTTTCTTTCTTGTGTTTTTTTCTTGATTTTCTGTAGGCTTTTTCATTTTTCTGCTTTTCATCCTCTTTTGCTTCCTGTTCATGTGTTTCTTCAAATCCTGCATCTTCTATTTCACCATCTTCTAATTCACCATCTTCTCTGTAGAGGACAATAAAAATTTTAATTTTCAAATGACAATTCTAAAATGAAATTTACAGAGACATTTCCAAAAGAAAAAGAAAGCACATGCCAAGAGTTTAAGTTATATTTATTTAGTTCAGGATTGGCAAGATTTTCATCAAAGGACCAGTAAAGTAAATACTTTATTTACATCTGCAGGCCATGTCTGATTTGCTTCTCTATTTTCTTTTAAAATAATTCTTTTCAAAGTGTAAGAACCAATCTTAGCAGTTAAAGTTTGCCAACCTCTGATTTAGATTCAGATCATTCACTATTACAAATGAATGAAGGAATGCACAAATGCAGTGTTATCCCAAAGAACTGCAATACCTACCATCTACTAAACTATCTTAAAAAAAAAAAAAGTTAAACACTTTCGGAAGCAAACACTCACTTCAGGGAGAACTTTTTACTGAATGGACCATACATAGCTATGTGTAGCTTTAAAGTATAGTAATATATATTAATATATATAGCTTTAAAACAAAAGCAATATATATAATTACCCACAAAGTAAACTTCATAACAAAACAAACTTCAAAACCCAAACATAGTCAATTCCTCAACATAAATCTATAAAAACATTTATAGCAAAGCCATAAATCTAATTTCACTTTCTGTAAGTCTACTATGGAGACTTATTATAAGAAAAAAAATTGTATTCATTATAGCATTTTTATAGTTATAGAATTCAAAATATCCATTAATAGTATTTTAAATGTAAATGAACCAACTGACATAGATGGAAGAATACATAATTTAACACTCAGTTATGATTTCCTGGTTTGAAAAAAATGTAAACTACTTACAAATACAAGATACAATGGTATAAAAAGACAAGTGTCTTTACATGGTTGGAAACAAGTGAGAAGCACCCCAACTATAGTGTTTGCATCTTAAAATACTTTAAATTACTAGAAATGTGTGATATTTAAAATGCAAAACTGATCACATCACTCTGCAGCTAAAAATCTTCAGTAATAATAATGTGATGTCTCAAATTTGTTTAAGAACAGTCCACTGGGTATGGGGGAAGTGGTCTCAATAAAACTGAGTTACCATGAGTTGACAACTGCTGAAAGTATGGGATTTATATATGAAGATTCATCCTATATGGTCTGTAAAGGAGTTTCAAATATTCCATAATAATAAAAAAAATCAATGATTCCCTTCTGACCTGAGGATAATGTCAAAATTCCTTGTATTACCAAAAGGCCCTTTATAATTGAGTTCCTGTTTATACAGCTTTGTTTCTTTAAACCTTGAACATTAAAAATCCATTTCCCTACTCCTCCCGACCCCTTTTCCCTCACCTGCTTCATCTGGCCAATTTCAATTCAATCTTTGGCGCCTAATTTAAATGTCATTTCCTCCAACATGCTCCACTGAGTACCCAGGTTTGGGTAAGATGCTACATCTTAAGGACGCCCCTAATTCTTATTTATCACTGCACTCGACACAAGGTTTGAATGACTTGTTTGTTGGTTGGTGACAGCAGGGCATATAACTATCTGTGACTCCTAGCATGGAGCTCTGCTGCTTCTGAATGTCTGAATACACAATATACATAACCCTTGCATTATAGAATAGGCACCTGATACCACTCTAAATTGCCTCTGAAGTCAATGTTATTTTTCAATTACAAAATTTAAGAGCGATTACATCCATTTAGGGAGACTTGAAAATTTCCTTGTGAGGAAGTCTGACATTCTGGTTAATTTTATTAAAAAAAAAAAGTTCTGGGCCCTCCGTGGTGGCACAGCGGGTTAAAGCACAGCACTAAGAAGCTAAAGCCACTTCTGCATGAGTTCGATCCCTGCCTGCCCTGGAGATGATCCATAACCTCTCCTGACACCTCCACTGCTCTCCCAGCAGTGTCCTTCATCTACCTGCCTGTTCTGCTCTCTGCTCTGTGTGGTAAACCCTCTCACGGTCCTGGCACCTCTGGCCTGTACCCCATTTCTGTATGCATAAATAAATAAAATCTTTTTAAAAAAAAGTTCTAAACTTTTATAATACTATAAAACTTTATGGCCCCAGAAAAATAAGTGCATACAATTCTCCATCAACAGATGAATGTATAAACAGGCTGTATTTATATAATGGAATACAATGTAGAAAAAAAATTAACCACTGCTATACACTATATGGATGAATATTATTTTAAGGTAATTATGAACAAAAGAAGTCAGAAGTAAGAGATTATTGACTTATTTACATGCATTTCAAGAACAAGAAAAACTAATTTGGTGGCAGATGTTAAAACCTCTTGGAAGGTTTTAGCGGACAAACAAGGGGTACTAAGGTGACTTCTGGGGTATTGAAATATTTACTATTATATACAGTAAATCTGTAACTACTACACATGTAGATGTAGTTGTGCCTTTAAAAACTGTGTACTTACACCATAGTAAAAATTAAGTATAAGCAACAACAAAAAAATCTATGGCCATTTGTCCTTTTCTTACCTCTCCTCCAACATGAGCTACTTAGCACAGGAAACTTTTTCTTTCTGAACACTGATACTTAGTCTTTTAACTAGAGATATTTAAATTGTAGTACTTCAAGCTAGAAAGAATGCATATAAATTTATGCCCTATGCTACATACATTCTTTAACTTTCAAATAAGGAGTACTTATGTTATTAGGTATAAAACACAGTGTTTTAGCCTATTTGTCATTTCAGTAATCATAAAACAAATGTAAACTTGTGAATTTATGTTTAAGTATAAAAAAAGGGGAGATAAAAAGGAAACAAAACACAATGATCCATATTTCTATAAAATATTTCTGAATGCTTTAAAAAATAAGTCTTGAGCCTACAAGGAAAGCTTATATCATATAGCGGGAAGAGGAGATGAGACATTATGAGGGGAAAGCTGGATTCTAATTACAGCTCTGGCACCAAAATAAAGCTTTCCCAAATGCAACTATTAATGTATCATATATAAAATTAATTCTGCGAGAAATCAAAAAAAGAGCTAACAGAATTAAGAATACTTGACATTCTCTAGATTTTTACTAGCTCAACACAACAGTGTGTGAAAGCAGTGTGTGTTAAAACCCAAATTTACAGTGAAAGCTTTTTTGTTTACTAAACCCAAGACAATTTACAACCTATAACAAAATTAATTTCTAGCTCAACTATATAGGGGGAGGATTTTTATTAATGGTAAAAATAATACAGTGATTGTGTCTGGTTTAAGAAGAGACATATTCCTGTGTACAAACATGTAAGTAACTGGCCAGTTCATAAACAAAAATTTTTAAAAAGTTATCTCTTAGGCAAATTCATAGACAGTAGATTAATGGTTGATCAAAGGGGAATTAAAGGGAGGAGTGGGAAGTGACTGCCAATGGATACAGGATTTCATCTTGGAGTGATGGAAATGTGTTAAAGTTAGATAACAGTAAGTAGCTGCATAACGCTGAATATCCTAAAAAACTGGTGAGTTGTGTATTTTAAAAGGGTGAATGATATCTTAATAAGACTGGTATTTTTTAAATAATAAAGTTGAAATATACTTTATCACTAAATTTTGAGATCAAGATTAGAGATGACTGGAGAAAAACATAAATCAGTAGGAAATTAAAGACTCTGAAATAGGTCAATGCCTCCATTGTACATGTTTTTATTTGGAGGATTCACAAAACCTTTTAAGTTGATATGCCTCAATAGAGGATTATACTTTTCTCCATTTTGATACTGTTGACTATTAAAATAAATTAACCTGAACCATTCAATCTTACCTCCACAGGTAGTTTCTGCTAAAGGCTCCTGTTACAAGCTACAGATCAGAAACTGAATCTTCTGGAAGAAACACAAAAGCCTCAATAAAAGACTATACAAATTAATATTCTGAGGGATGATATGACAAAGACATTACTTATAAATACAAGGTTCCTGGGCCAAGCCAGAACATGTACCAAGTAACTATGTTAAGATCTAATATCCAAAACTTCTTTACAATCTGGTAGCAGACTTTATAGAAGTAGACTGCATATCATAAGGTTAGTAGGACATATAATTCCTAAATAATTGAAACCATCACTTGTAATACTTTTCATGCCGTTGTTCAAATTCACTCTGGCATTTCACGAATGGGAACTGCTCTGTATCTGTGCCTTGGCAACCTTACATGTCTGCACATCGCCCAATAGGGAAGGCTCAGCCATATGCTGACTGAAAGCCCTGGTCTTATGCTCTGTGATCCTCCAGATTATGGAAAGATAGGCAGTCTTGGGAGGTGTTGCTATCAGCCTATTTCTCACCTGCTTCCCTACTTTGTGGGAGGCTACTATGGGAATGTTTCTTAACTACTTTCTGGGTAGAAATAAGGTCTGGGATTTTCCATCTTGCTTCTCTTTGCAGTACAACTACAGGTTTAAAAAACTGCTAAGCTGCAGTATGGAAACTTAGCAAGAGAATGCACTACCACTCAGGATGCCTATGACCATCTGGTCTCTTCACTTTCAGTTATTATCCTGTGGGACAAGGGACACGAGCAGTCGTCTTGCATCTATTGTTAATATAAGTAATAAACTATCTGAATCTTACTGGCTGAATCTGTCAATATGCTTCACAGAAAATGTGCTTTGCCCATGCTGAAATCTATATAGGTAACTTATATGTGATTCTCTTGATTAAGCCCTCACATAATTCCAGTCTCACCCAAACTAGATATTCCACCCCAGGAGAATTTTGGGCTACGTGATAGGAGGTTTTGTGATTGTATGTATTTCCCATTACTGGAACTTGAACATTTGTATTCTAAATGTTCTTATTGGTTTCAGAAAAAGTTTCTTTACAAATTGACAGTGGTTAAAATTTGCTGTCTACAATTTCAAAGTACTTATACTCTATCCTTGACCCCAAACAGTCTTACTAAATCCTCTGGAATGACCTTGAATTGCAAAAATCCAGCATACTTTTTTCATTATCTATAGTTATGGCAAATTCTGTATGGTTGTTTCACTCC